CGGAGGCGGCGCGGGCCGGGCTCTGCGCTTTGGCGGCGGGGCCGGGTGGGTCCCTCCCTTCGGGGAACGTGTGGAGGGGCTGACTTCGCAGCGTGGACCCGAGGTCAGTGCGCTCTGGGGGCGGGCCTGGGTGGGTGGCGGGCTCGGAGGCGGCGGGGTCCGGGCTCTGCGCTTGGAGGTGGCAGGGCTGGGTGGATAACCTGCTTTGGAGGCCATGTGGACCAGGGCTCGGTTTGCCCTATGGACCAGAGGTCAGTGCGTTTTGGAGGCAGGGCCGAGTTGCTAATGCACTTGGACGGTGGCGTGGACCAGGGGTCAGTTTTGAGGCTGGCCAGGTGGGTCATGCACTTTGGAGGAGGTGCGGGTTGGGGGTCAGTGTGCTTTGGAGGTGGTGCCAGGTGGGCCACGTGCTTTGGAGGCCGTGTGGACCAGGGCTCAGTTCGCAGGGTGGACCAGGGTCGATGCACTCTGGAGGTGGGCCAGGTAGGTCCTGCGCTTTGGAGGTGGTGCGGACGAGGGGTCAGTGTGCTGTGGAGGCGGGGCTGGGTGGATAACCTGACTTGGAGGCGGTGTGGACCAGGGCTCAGTTCGCAGGGTGGACCAGGGCTCAGTGCACTTTGGAAGCGGCCAGGTTGGGTGGATAACCTGCTTTGGGGACGGTGTGGACCAGGGGTCGGTGTGCTGTGGAGGCAGGGAGGCCAGGTGGTTTGCACTCTGGAAGCAGTGTCGAGTAGTGGTTAGCACACTTTGGGGGGCGTGTGGACGACCTGGGAGGCAGCAGAGTGTGGTGGCGGACGTGTGTCTGGGCGGTGCGGGTTGGTGGCCATGTGCGCCTTGGGCAGTGCGTGGGGTCCTGGCTGATGTGCTCTGGAGGGGGCCTGGGCCAGGAGCCAGCGCTCGTGGGAGGCGGCAGGACCGGTGGGCAGCGCCCCCGAGAGGCTGCGGGCTCAGGGGTGCATATGAGCCGCTGAGTGAGGACGGGTGTTGGGGGCTGGCCACGACCTCTAGCAAGCCTCCAGCCGGAGCGTACGGCGAGGGAGCCGGCCCCGAGGGCTGCGGCTGTCGGGCCGGCGAGATGCAGCAAACCGGGGCCCGGCAGGCGCACTTGCGTGAAAGGACACTGGCAGCGCCTGTCCCTGGGAGAG